GGGCGCCGAGCAGGAGCGCCTGCTGCTCTCCGTGCTGCCCCAGCACGTGGCCATGGAGATGAAGGAGGACATCAACACCAAGAAGGAGGACATGATGTTCCACAAGATCTACATCCAGAAGCACGACAACGTCAGGTACAGCGTGGGGGGGTCTGCCTGGGGCGGGACGGGGACGGGTGACGTCCCCTTCCATCCCGCGCTCTCTGTGCCGGCAGCATCCTCTTCGCGGACATCGAGGGCTTCACCAGCCTGGCGTCGCAGTGCACGGCGCAGGAGCTCGTCATGACGCTCAATGAGCTCTTTGCGCGCTTTGACAAGCTGGCAGCGGTGAGCGCATGGGGCGGGGGTGGCAGTGGGGTGGTCATGGGGCCCCCCCAGACCTTCCCGTCCATCCATCTGTCCCCTCCATGCAGGAGAACCACTGCCTGCGCATCAAGATTCTGGGCGACTGCTACTACTGTGTGTCGGGGCTGCCGGAGGCGCGTGGGGACCACGCACACTGCTGCGTGGAGATGGGGGTTGACATGATCGAGGCCATCTCGTGAGTGGGGCACAGCCCTGGCTGGGTTGTGCGTGGCCCCGGTTGGGTTGTGCATGTTCCTGGTGCATGGCCCTGGTTGGGTCAGGTTGGGTTGTGCATGGCTCCGGTGAGCATGTGCCCATCCCAGGTGCCAATGCAAGGCCCTGGTTGGGTTGTCTACGTCCTTGATATCCATGCACGGTCCCAGTTGAGTTGCTCATGGCCCTGGTGAGGACATAAGCAGCCCAGGTGCCCATGTGTGGCCCCAGTTGGGTTGTGCATGTGCCTAGTTGGGTTGTGTATGTCTCCGACGCCCATGGATGTGCTCTGTGTAGCCCTGGTTGGGTTGTGTGTGGCCCTAGTTGGGTTGTGCATGTCTCCAATGCCCATGCATGGCCCCGGTTGGGTTGTGCATGTCTCCAATGTCTGTTCATGGTCCCAGTTGGGTTGTGCATGGCCCCCGTTGGGTTGTGCATGTCTCCAATGTCCGTGCATGGCCCTGGTTGGGTTGTGCATGGCCACGGTTGGGTTGCGCATGTTTCCACTGTCTGTGCATGGCCCCCGTTGGGTTGTGCATGGCCCCCGTTGGGTTGTGCATGTCTCCAGTGTCCGTGCATGGCCCCCGTTGGGTTGCCCACATCCTCGTGGGTGCCCGTGGCAGATGGGGTGACGTGGTGCCCGTGCCCCTCCGCAGGCTGGTGCGCGAGGTGACAGGGGTGAACGTGAACATGCGCGTGGGCATCCACAGCGGGCGCGTGCACTGCGGCGTCCTGGGGCTGCGCAAGTGGCAGTTCGACGTCTGGTCCAACGACGTGACCTTGGCCAACCACATGGAGGCGGGCGGCAAGGC